CTTCCGGCAGGGAGGCAAATGTTGCCTAGTGATCTGCATCTGAGCAGAGGAGTCAAAAACTCTAAGTGCTAATCATGAGTGTTGAGTGTCTGGGTTCATGATCCTCAGCAAGTCATTTAACCCTTCTATATCTCTACTCCCCCAACAAACAGGTAAAAATAATGACTTACCACCTAGGGATATGACAGAGTGAAAGAACGACTGTGATCCACAGATAAATGTCGAGTAAAAAATGTCAGTATAAATCCACTTTTAAATCAAACCATGTGCTGGGCATGATGGTGCATGCCTATAATCCCAGCACTCAAGGTTTAGAGGAGGATCTCAAATTCAAGGTCAGCATCAGCAACTTAGTGAAACTCTATCTTGAAATAGAAGTTTTTAAAAAAGCACTAGAGATGTAGTTCAGTGGCAGAGTACCCCTGGGTTCACTCCCCACTAACCGCCCCTCCCACATAGATACATGAACACACCCAAATCAACCCATGTTTTCAAACCTTGAAAGTCATACTATTTAAATGCAGGCTGCCTCTCCAATATCCCTTCTGCCTCTAGTGGAAGTAAAATAATATAAACCCATGAGGTTCTGTTCAAGTAGTTCCCTTTCCAACAATTACAGGCTTCTCTAAATATTCTGCTCATTCTTTGGCTAATGGCTTAGAACTCATCAAAGTTTCCATTTTTATTTGGTTGAAAGCAATCCCATGCATCTGTGGATAAATTTATAAAGTGACAAAGAAAAAAACGGATTATGTACCCCTCCCTTTCACAACAACAACTCAAATAAAACTGTTTGATGATTTGTCCTATCAAAAGTGATGAAATCAGTAACAGATGTGATTCTGCAATCTGTATTTGGGGTAAAAATGGGAGTTCATAACCAACTTGAATCTAATGTATGAAACATGATATGTCAAGAGCCTTGTAATGTTTTGAACAACCAATAAAAAAAATAAAATAAAATTTTATTTCTCAAAAGAAAAAAAAAAGTGATGAAATCAGCTCACCAGAAACATGACAACAACCATACTACTGGATTCTGTTATGGGTATTTCCCTACGTACTCAGATACTATGGTGACAAGCATCATATAAATAGACAGGAGGCAGTAAGGAGTTGGTCAGGGCTTTGTATTTGTAAAACAGTAGGAAAAACACATCAAGCAAGATTGAATCTCCAACTAATACAGCTACTTCCTCCTCATCCACAGATCACTCCTGGGAATTCATTATGGGAACCTGGGGAAACTCTGGCTATCTTTTCTAATAATGAAGAATAACTGTAGTCAAATAACAATGGAATATACACCAGCACTTGAAGTATACTGACACTAAATGTCCAATTCCAAATAAAAAAAGGCATCTGGATACTGGCTGATTGTATCCTAGACATCAAAGGGCTCCCATGTTTCCAATCTAACACATGGCTACTGTTTTATTTATAAGTAAAATTCAGTTATAGTTTGCAGCACATGTATGAGCAAGCATATACCCACATGAGCATATTTTCCATGATGAATTTCACATACCTCCCTCAAATCCAAAAGTCTAGAAGGCAAAGAAAGAGTAAAACATGGGTATTCCAACATAAGAGGGGTAGTTCCAGCCAAGCAGTGGGTGGATCCACCACAGCCACACTTGTATTCACTGAATGCAATATTATACATTATTTTGGGCTCTGATTGAAGTGGATGCAATGTTGTACTTTGCGGCTTTCATTAACACCTGCTGCTCTTTATCTCACTGTACATTCCTCGTATGAATACAGAGAACCAAGATTCCAGGATGGCTTACTCTGTTTATATAGGAAAAGAAGCTAACCTCTTTGGGCAGAGAACTCTATTTCAAGTATCTATGCCTTAGGAACAAGCAGTCACCGAGGCCTCACTAATGACATTCATATACACATCCCATCAACCCTTCAAAGGCCTTAGAATGCAAACTAATTAGTTCCGAGATAGCACATGACTACAAACAGCACTGACATGAGGGAAGTTGTCCAAGACAAGTCAACCAACCAGCACAGGATAAAGGATGGTCATCTTCACAAGTTACTAGCCAAAATGGCAAAATGCTAAGAGTCAGAAAAGATAAATATAGGGGCTGAGGTTGTGGCTCAGTGGTAGAGCACTCGCCTAGCATGCATGAGGATGGAACTGGGTTCCATTCTCACCACCACATGAAAATAAAGGTATTGTGCTCACCTACAACTGAAAAAGAAATAAATATAAAAGATATTTTTAAAAATATTTTTTTAAAATATTTGTTGTCAATGGACCTTTATTTTATTTATTTATATGTGGTGCTGAGAATCGAACCCAGTGCCTCTCACATGCTAGGCAAGTGCTCTACCACTGAGCCACAACTCCAGCCCCATAAAAGATATTTTTAAATCTCTTTAAAAAATAATCATCTGGTCAGGCACAGTGGCATACACCTGTAATCCCAGAAGATTAAGAGGCTGAGACAGGAGGATGACAAATTCAAATCCAGTTCCAGCAACCTAGTGAGGCCCTAAGCATTTTAGCAAGACCTTGTCTCAAAAATAAAAAATAAAAAATGGACTAGAGATGTGGCTCATTGGGTTCAACCCCTGTTATCAAAAAAAAGAAAGAAAGAAAAAGAAAGGGATAATCATCTAGCTGTCATATGCCTTTAATATCAGTTACTCAGGAAACTGAGGCAAGAGGATCACAAGTTTGAGGCCACCCTTGACAACCTAGCAAGACCCTACCTCAAAATAAAGAGGGCTGGGATTGTAGCTCAGTGGTAGAGTGCTTACCTAGCATGCCCAAGGCCCTACATTCAATCCCCAGTACCAAATAAATAAATAATAACAGATAATAATCAGTTTCAGCAAAAATGATAGTAATGCACTCTGGAGTTTATGACACTTACACAAAGTAAAATGTATGAAGACCATAGCGTGAAGGAAAGGAAATATGGTTCACAATGATAAAAACTTCAATTTATCAAGGGGACAGGGAATATAAGATGGAAGTTGGAGAATAACAGGAAGCCTTGGGAACTTCAGGGGGACAGAACAGGGCAATATGGAATAGTATGGAATAGGACAATGAGAAAAAGGACAATGGACAATGAGGATGGGAGAAATGTCAGAGAGATCAGAGTTAGGATAGTCAGAACAGAAAGGAAAGAAAATAGGAAAAAAGAGAAAATAAAACCAGAAGGGACTCAGAAGCAGCAAGCAGAAATAATTACTTCCACCAATTGTTGCATACTACAACAATGTACAACTTCATCTCAGTTACAGATATAAACTATTTACATTTGCTTTAAGTCCTATGACTATACCAAATACACAGATTTGGATCATTTGTGTGCTTTCTCTTTCATTCTAGACTTTTAGAGCCAATCATATTATTATCTACAGGCAACAATAGGAGCCCTTTATATCAAAAAGAAATATTGGCCAGGTGCAGTGGCACACACCTATAATCCCAGCAGCTCAGCAGGCTGAGGCAGGAGGATTGAGAGTTCAAAGCCAGCCTCAGCAACAGTGAGGCATTAAGCAACTCAGTGAGATCCGTTTCTAAATAAAATATAAAATAGGGCTTAGGGAGGGGAGGGTGTTGTGGCTCAGCATGTTGGAAGCACTGGGTTCAATCCTCAACACCACTAAAAATAAATAAATAAAATAAAGGTATTGTTTCCAACTACAACTAAAAAAATAAATATTTTTAAAAAATTAGGGCTGGGATGTGGTTTTAGAGATTTAGTCCCCTGAGTTCATTCTGGATACCAAAAAAAGAAAAAAAAAAAAGAAGAAGAAGAAGAAATACTGCTAAGAAACTCTACTAACTTAAGTCTTTTCAATCTCTCTTGATAGCTCTTCAGTACTTCTGACATCTCAATCTCAAACTTTCACACAATCTTACTTCTCCCTCCTAAAACACCAAAAGGATACGACTGCCAATTAGTATGATTCTCCTGCTCCTCTCCCCCTCTTCACCACCATAGGCAATAACTGCAAAACTTTGCTAATCCATTAATTAAAGATCTCTATTTCCCATTATGGAAGACTAAATTTAGATAGCCAAATTGGGTTGGGAGGAAAGCATGTGTCACAACAAATGAGATGAATTCCATGGAAGGGGGCTGAGTTACTGGCCTGTTTCTTATAAAGCCTCTGACATTAACATGCCCTCTTCTGCTTAGAATACAGAGAAACTCCCCCATGGGTGGGGCAACCATTCATCACTACTATCATCTAAAGGCGTCTATTGTACCATTAGGTCACAAAAGCCACAGGACTATCAGCAAGTGACTACTTCAGAGAACATGTCTTCTCTGCTTTTCTGAAACCTCCAATTTAATCACACAAAAGAAAGGGTGGTAAGCCAGCATTAATTGCACCCTTAGAGAAGAGCCACTTCCCGCCTGCAGAGATGGCAGTGACTTTACTGGGCTACCAAATGGATATAAAGACAAAAGTAAACACTGTAATTTGCTGTTTTGTCTCTGGCACAGGGGGAGTGGTAAAATCGACACTGTCTGTAAACAGTAATAATGCCAGATGTAACAAAAAGAACAGGATTCCCCCCATCTCTCCACCCCCATCCCCACCCCCTCTTCCTATGACATTTCTCTTGAGATTACTCATCTTGAGGAAACACACAGAAGATTCCCTATAGTCCATATGCTGCTACCAAATGGAACAGAGTAAGAATCCAAGTTTACACTGACTCTTCATTTCTTACACGAATTCAGGAAATATTCAATGGTTTTTACCAGCTGACCAAAAAAAAAAAAAGAAGAAGAAGAAGAAGAAGAGGAGGAGAAGGAAGAGGAGAGAAAGTGTGGAATAAATATGTGACATGCTTAGATCTGGATTTGAAAAATAAAAATGACAAAAAGGATAAATGAAAATAGAAGCATCCTAAATAAACTACAATGTTATTAATAAAAAAATGTGCCTTAAGCCCAGTCCAGGTACTCATAAAACGCAAGGAAAAGAAGATGAAATCAAGGGAAGGTTACCTGACCAGAGTTCCCGCCAGGTGTAATGAAGGCGAACTCGACACTTCTTCTGATAACAAAGCAGTTTATGTACTACCTGAATGCAGCGTCTGGAACCAAGAAAGAAAAAAACTGAGGTAAACCTGAGAATACAGTGCAATTCATCACAGACACTATTTCTTTCTCTTTCTAAAAAAAATATTTATTTTTTTAATTATAGGTGGACACAATATCTTTATTTTATTTTATGTGGTGCTGAGGATCGAACCCAGTGCCTCCAGCATGCTAGGGGAACGCTCTACCTCTGAGCCACAACCCCAGCCCAACAGACACCATCTCTCTAGTAGAGCAACTTTGCTAGGGCCACTAAAGTCACTGGATATGAATAAGTACACATGCAAAAGAAAAGAATATACACGTTCAACTCTTCTGGTAAATAAATCTCAAACTTAATCTCTCTCATTCATGTTTGCGTTCTCTCTCTCTCTCTCTCTCTCTCTCTCTCTCTCTCTCACACACACACACACACACACACACACACACACACACGAAATGCTTGTGCAACCCATTTCCCTTATCAATGGGAAAAGGGGGCTACAACCACTTAGATGTCAACTGTCCCAAGTGACTACTCAGGCACCACCAATACTTTTCAATTGAGCATCATTCCAGAAAGAAAAGGGAAGAAGAATGTATCATCATTACTCTTTTGAAAGTGGCAGACACAGAATGCAAAAACAAAAAATTAAAGACTTTAAGTCTATAGATCTAATAAAATATTTTAAATAAAATTTAAATTACAGTTTTAATTAACTTAAATTTTACTTACATTAAAAGTAAAGTTGAATATTCATTTCCTCAGTTGTATTAACCACAAAACAAGTTTTCAACAGCCACCTGTGGCTAATGGCAACAACACTGGACAGCACAGATATATATACAACTTTTCTATTTTTCTTTGAGGTAGAATCTTCCTATGTTGCCCAGGCTGAACTTCAACTCCTGGGCTCAAGTAATTCTCCTACCTCAGCCTGCCAAGTATCTGGGACTACAGTGCCATGCTAAAAACTTTCTATCATCACAAAAGTTCTTTTGAATATTCAAAGTTATTCACAACCAAATAATATATTCTTTTGAGAGTATTTCAAAATTGTAAGCAATTAATAAGAATAAGATGAATGAAATTTTTAAGAATTAGATACCTAGTAAAAATATCTTTTTCATCTTTTTTTTTTTTTAAAAGAGGGAGGGAGGGAGGGAGAGAGAGAGAGAGAGAGAGAGAATTTTAAGATTTATTTTTTAGTTTTCGGAGGACACAACATCTTTGTTTGTATGTGGTGCGGAGGATCGAACCTGGGCCGCACGCATGCCAGGCGAGCGCGCTACAGCTTGAGCCACATCCCCAGCCCTCTTTTTCATCTTTGATAATTCTGAAGCTTTATATTCAACGATTATAATGCACCAATATATTTTAAAATAGAAGTAACTAATTTTTTTAAAAAAAGTTTAAAAGCTACAGATAAAATTAGAAAGGAAAATACTGATGGTCCTTACTTCCTAAAAATACAAACTTTTCTCTGATTAAAAACAAAAAAAACTTTAACAATTAAAAGTAAAAGGTGGGCTGGAGTTGTGGCTCAGTGGTAGAGCGCTCGCCTTGCACGTGCGAGACTCTAGGTTCCATCCCTAGCACCACATAAATGATTGAATAAAATAAAGGTATTGTGTCCAGCTACAACTAAAAATATAAATGTTAAAAAAAGTAAAAGGCAAGTTTGTATAAATATGTCAGAACTGACTCTATTGTCATGTATAACTAAAAAGAACGACAATAACAAAAAAAAGTAAAAGGCAAACACCTGGGTGAGGTGGCACATTTTGTAAAGCAATGCAGGAATCTGAGGCAGGAGGCTTATAAATTCAAGGCCAGCCTGGGCAATTTAGCGAGACCCTGTCTCAAAGTAAAAAGTAAAAAGAGATTGAGAATGCAGTTTAGTGGTAAAGGACCCTAGGCTCAATCCCCAGTCCAATCAATCAATCAATAGCAAACAATAAGTCAGGTATGGTGGTGAATGCCTAGAATCCCAGCTACTGGGAAAGTTGGGCAGGAAGATCACAAGTTTGAGATCGGCCCTTGCAAAATTTAGCAAGAACCTGTCTCAAAATAATTTTTTTAATTAATTAATTTAAAAGGTTGGGAATTTAGCTCAGTGATACAGCCCTTGTCTATTCATGAGGTGCTGGGTTCAATCCCCAGTACAGGGGGAAAAAAGAGGCAAACAATATGGGACATGACATTTATAACAATTCATAATAATTCACGATCCAAGGGAAATTGGTTACCAAATCATTTGTTGATTTTTAGAAATTGGGCTGCGATCTCCTGTTTGATGCAGTCATCATTGGCTAAATGAAGCTGTTATTTGAGCTATGATTTGCTCAGTATTCTACAAACTTTTCTATCAGTTTCCCCATGAAACTGACCATTATTGGGTCCCCAGTGCTATAACTTTATTGCAGCCACTAAGGGTGGCTAAATGCTGCCTACACATGATGACCCATGCACAGTACATCCCTGAGTGCCAGGTCTTCTCACATAGCAAGAATCTAGACATCCTATACCTTGGCTCCTGTTGATAATGCCATCTGACATCACTAAGCCACTTCAGAGCAGCAATGAGGTGCTAACCTATATCCAGCACTTTCATTCACAGCCAATCCAACACTATTCCTAAACTCTGTTCCTGTTACCGGTTTCCCAAATGATGCCATCATTAGCCTTTTGGTCTCAGTAACTTAAACTATTTGCCAAGCAGAATAAAAAATATATATATATTTTAATGAACTTAACATTTATTTTTTATTTATTTGTTTTTTATGTGGTTCCAAAGATTGAACGCAGTGCCTCACCTATGCTAGGCAAGGTCTCTACCACTGAACTGCAACCCCAGCTTGGAATGAAAATTTTAATAATTGTTATGTCCTTAAAAATACATACCAGGTACTCCCACTTTCTCCTGAAATCTTCTTCTAGGACCTACTGAAAAATGTTCCTCTCTTTTGGGAATATCTGACTTAAAAAGAGTCTAAGTTGTCCACATAAGAGTAACTTTAAGAATGCTTGGGGGGGCTGGGGATGTGGCTCAAGCGGTAGCGTGCTGGCCTGGCATGCGTGCGGCCCGAGTTCGATCCTCAGCACCACATAGAAACAAAGATGTTGTGTCTGCCAAATACTAAAAAATAAATATTTAAAAATTCTCTCTCTCTCTCTCTCTCTCT